GACCAGCGGCTGTTTGTTTGTCCCCTTTGAAGGAGACAAAGTGAGCCCTATGGCTTGGTTGCTTCTGCTCCAGCCGAGCTTGGCGTTGTTGGACGTAGGGCTACTGGGAGGAAAAGCAAACAGAAAGGAGGCGAGAAGGGCTGGGCAGAAGATGGGGGTGATATCGGGTGCTCCATCTGCAAGGGTCTGTTCAAAAGGGAGGAGAAGGCTGGAGCCATCAAAGCTGCTCCAATGGCCTCGGTCCAGATGGGAGAAGGATTTCATCCAGCTTCTGCCAGGCTTCTTTCCACTCACGGTGGGCTCCCCTTCCTCCCACACCAGGGACAAGCCCCACCATCCTCCTCCTCTCCTCCATCTGGGAGACAGACCCTTGGAGTGACAGTAATGGGATGCTGGGTGTTGCGAAGGGTAGCACCTTGCCCTGGGCATCCCCTTCTGTCACTTTTGGGGCCGGGGGGACCCTTGGGCAGGAGCAGCAGGGCCAGTCCCCCGGGAACACTGGTTTGGAAGTGTGATTTAGGCTACAGCTCGGGTGCTAAGCAAGCCCATGAGGATGAGCTTGTTCTACTCTTGAGGGCACACCCATCCCAGCTCACTAAAACTTATATACACTATGTAAGATCCTATATAATATATAAAGTCATATACATATTTATAGATGCATGTATATATGTTATGTATGGCTTTGCCATGAAAAAAAATAAATATATATATGGTCAAACAGTCTCAGCAGTTTTGGGAAGAGGCATTTTGCTGGCATGAGTTTCGGAGGTGGGCCTGCAAGCAGAGCTGGGCAACATTTCTGAGAGCTGGGGCTAGCAGGAAGCCGAACACGTTAGTAAAAATCCCCTTCTCTCCCTTGCACTCCCATCCGGGGAGGATGGGTGACGCAGCCCTTGCTGGAGGTGATGAGGTGATACCCTCCATGCTGCACACCTCCAGTCTCACCCTGCCATCGCTGCCTCATGGCGACCCCACTGGCGCGTCCCATCGCCCACCGCTGGGCAGGGGCTACGAAGTGGACTCACCTGCTGTGTCTGGTGGGAATGATTCATATGTCCCTGTGCTGAAAAAAGGGGGATTTTCCCTGCCCAGGAGGGGATGCTGAGGCCAGCAGGACCCCTACCCCACTGAGCCCCTCCAAGGCCGGTGTTTCTCCCAGTGACATTGAGGCAGAGGCTGGAGGCAGCTGGCTGGCCTGTCCCCATCTGAAATGCCAGCTCAGTCTATAAATAGCACCTGGCACGGGTCTCTCCCTGGGCATTGGAGCAATGAGAGACTGAGCCCTTTCTGTCCTCCTGCAGCAGGGCTCTTGCTCCATTTAACAGATGGGGAAACTGAGGCACAGTGGGGTCCTTGACCCTGCCTTGCAGCGAGCCTTTTGGGTTTGCAGGGCACTGGGAGGTGTTTTCCTGTGGCAGAGGGGCTGCTCCCCACTGAGACGGGGAGGATTTGATGGGGGCTATTGCTCTGCCAGGGGGTCCGCACCTCGTCCCACCCCAGCTGTGGTCTCTGGGGAGCCAGGGAGCCTTCCCCTGCCCAGAGAAGGGGACCCGCAGGGGGCTGGTGTCTCACACCCCTGCAGTAGCCCCCCAGCCCTCCCCACTCACTAGTCCCTCCTGGACGTATCTCCCAGGAACGGCGGCTCCTGCCCCACTGGCTGTCTCCCGGGACAATCGGTGGGGT